GGGAAAAAAAGAACAAAGTTGGAAGTCTCATGGCTCTCCAGTTTAAATTTATTACAAAGCTACAATTATCTGAATTGTGGTGCTGATGTAAGATAAATATATAGATCAAGGAAATAGAATTAACAATCCAGGAATAACCCTGGCTGGTGTGGTTCAGTGGAAAGAGTGCTGGCCTGTGAACCAAAGGGTCACTGGTTCGATTCCTAGTCAGGGCACATGCCTGGATCAATAAAATCTTTATGGTCATATGTAAATGGGTTCATTCCTGAATTCTTTTTTTTTTTAAGATTTTAGTTATTTATTTTTAGAGAGATGGGAAGGGAAGGAGAAAAGAGGGAGGGAAACATCAATGTGAGGTTGTCTATCATGCGTTCCCTACTGGGAACCTGGCCTGCAACCCAGGCATGTGCCCTGACTGGGAATCGAACCAGCGACCCTTTGGTTCTCAGGTTGGCACTCAGTCCACTGAGCCACACCAGCCAGGGCATGACCAATTAATTTCTGACAAGGGTGCCTAGACCGTTCGTTCAATGGTAAAAGAAGAATGGGTGTTTTCAGTAAGTGTTGCTAGAACAATGGGGTGTGCACATGCAAAAGAGCGAAGTTGGACTCCCATGTCATGTCATAAACAAAAATTAATTCAAAGTGAATGGAAGACCTAAATGTAAAATCTAACACTATTGAACTCTTAGAAGAAAACATAGGTGTAAATCTTTGTGACCTTGGATTAGGCAATAGTTTCTTAAATATAACACCAAAGCACAAGCAATAAAAGAAAACATAAATAAATTAAAGTTCATCAGGATTTAAAAACTTTGTATATCGAAGGACACTATCAAGAAAGTGAAAAGACAACCACAGAATAGGAGAGGATATTGTAAATCATATATCTGATAAGAGTCTAGTATCCAGAATATATAAATCACCCTTACAACTCAACAACAAATAGATAAACAACACAATTTAATGATAAACAAGACTTGAATAGACATTTCTCAAAAAAAAAATACACAAATGGCCAACAAGCACATTAAAAGATGCTCAACATCATCAGTCATTAGGGAAATGAAAATCAAAACTATAATGAGATACCACTTCATACCCATGAGGATGGACATAATCAAGAAAACAAATAATAAAGTGTTGATGAGGATGTGGAGAAATTGGAACTCTCATAATTTGCTAATGGGAATGTAAAATGGTTCAGCCTCTGTGGAAAATAGTTTGGCAGTTCCTCAAAAAGTTAAACATAGAATTACCATATGTCCCAGCAATTCCACTCTTTGGTATATACCCAAAAGAGTTGAAAACAAATGTTCAAACAAAAATTTCTACGCAAATGTTCACGGCAACACTATTTACAGTCGCCAAAAGGTAGAAACAACCCATATGTCCATCAACTGATGAATGGATAATCAAAATGTGATATATTTATACAATGGAATATTATTCCACCATAAAAAGCAATGAAGTTCTGATATATACTGCAACAAGGATGAAACTGGAAATCTGCGAAGTGGAAGAAGCCAGACAGAAAAGGCTACGGACTGTGTGATTCCATTTATCTGAAGTGTCCAGGATGGGCAAATCCATGGAGACAGAAAGTAGATTGGTGTTTGCCAGGGACTGGGAAAGGGGAAGTAGGAGGTGGCTACTTAATGAGCAGGGGTTCCTCTGGAGAGTAATGATTTTTTTTTTTTTCTGAAATTACATAGTGGTGATGGCTGCATAACATGGATACTAAAATCACTGAATTGTACACTCGGAAGTGGTTTAAATGGTGACTTTTATGGTACGTGAATTTTTACCCCAATTTCTTCTCTTTTTAATTGAAAAGAGTCAATGGCACATCAGGATGTCTGCCGGCGGCGGAATCAGCTTTAAAACAATAAAAGAAATCAAACTCCTCATCGCACACCCCGAGGGCCTGTCACTGACCTTGCCGTGACTTTGATCTCACACGGCTCTCTTCACAAGACTGCATGCTTTACAAGGGCAGGGACAGCAGAGTCTAGACCCCCAAGTCTATTCCAATGCCAGAAACACTAGCAACTATGGGGCCTCGAAACTGAGAAAAGCCCCAGAGACAGCCGATCAACAATCGACCCAGGGAGGAAACAGGACAATCTTTATTCCTGTTCACATCTAGTGGTCCCTCTTGAGAAAAATGTGAAAAGAGAAGAAGAAGGAGGAAGAGGAGGAGGAGAACAACAAGAAGAAGAGGAACTCCTCTCAAACACACGATAGCACATAAGAGCAATCTGAATTGCTTCTTCCTCCCTTCCTCCAAGCTAAGGCATCAAGGCTGAAAAAAAGAACTCCTCCCCAGTCAGGTGCAATGAATGCCAAGGTTACAGAAGGGAAATCACGTTGATTATTGACATGTGAAGACCCATCCACTTAAAGCATCGGGAGCTGGTAAAAGCAGAATCAGTCATTTCTGTGGAGGAATCAGGCAGCTTTTCAGACATTATGATGCCGGAGCTTGGAATGTTCATTTCAGAGCAAGTACAGGAGAAAAAAAAAAAGCCAAAACTATACTTCATCACCTGACATTGTCACCCTTTTCTCCTCCAGGCTCGGCTGAGCTCCATCCAGATTCTCAGACACTGAACCCACCTTTCCCCCACACCACGGTGGGGAAGTAGACTAGAGTTTCAGCTATATTGAAATCTCCCAGTTCCTCGCTCAGCCCGTGAGCTTTCAGGTTCTGTACCTGGTTCAGTCTCACAGCCTTTTGCAGTTCTCCAACCATACCAGTCCCTGGGTCTTTGCCGACGTTGTCCCTTCTTCCAGCATCACCATTCCAAGAAGGTGACCCCCATTCCTCGGGAACTCAGCTGAGAATTCCTCCCCGGAGGGAAGTCCTGTCGGATCCCAGGCGGAACCAGATCACCCCTTGTCCATGCTCACAGCCTCCTGTGGCCAAGGTCACAACCCACCCATTTCCTGCCTTTTCCCTCACCAGGCTGTGAGTGCCTTGCAGGGAAAACAGCTCGGAGTTCCCCGCCTTTATTTAAATTGGTAAGCCAGTAAGCCCTGGACCGTGTTTCCTCCTCTGCAAAATCCTGGGGTTGGACGAAGTCGCTGGTGTGATCTGCAGACAGCCCACGTCACATGATTTATTGTATTTAAGCAAAAAATTTTAAATCAGAAACGTTTATACTAAAATCTGGATTTCTGTCTTTTGAGAACTCAGACATTTTGGCAGCCTTGGGTCCACAGCTGTGGAGGGGCCAATGAGCCCCTCTCTGCAGGTGGGGCCCGTGCTGGGCCCTCTTCTGCGGGCACCGGACTTGAGCCCTGCTCAGGACGCCTTCTCGGGCTGGGCTGCCAATCGGAGGCCGCGCCGACCCATGATTCCAACTGCTTTTCCTCCTGCTCTGTCCAGTTAACATCGCCACCATTTTTGTTTTCATTTTGATGAGACCCAGGGACTTTTTTGTTTTTTGTTTTAACTTTCTTTGCATTTTAAGGCAGTAACTGCAAGCCTACCCAGTTATTTCTGAAACAATCCACCACCAGATACAATTTAATCATCCTTAAAAATAATTTATGCCAGCCCTATAAAAAGCACTATCACTTTTAGGTTATACAGAGCACCCGCCCTCCTCTTTCTCAGCACTGAACTGGAAACAGCAAACTCCACTTTCAAAAGCACGTTTCAAAGGTAATCCAACTGAATACAGACTTCTTAAAAGCACATCAAATGCTCAAGCAAATCCTACCTATATATAACCATTTAAGCAATTTCAAATACATTTCTGTTGTGTAATTATGCAAGGACTTTGGTCATAAAACATGCTGCCACAAACTTCAGTGAAATCACCACAGATTACTATTTGTAAGGAAAATGCCCAGTGTAAGGGAGAGCTGTCATCAGCTTCTCAGTGGATTTCCATCTGGTCATTTCCCACCAGCCGGTTGACCCCAATCAGTCGGCACTTGGGTCCTTGGAAAAGCACCCAGCCCCAAAAAGGAAACTCAATTAGGATCTAGCTGGGCCTGAGCAGATTGGTTTGTAATGCTGGAGATTTTGAACTTGAAAGCAGAGGCCATTATGTTTCTGTATATCAGTGAAAAGGGACCATTATTTTCCTCTAGAAACTTGCTATTTTGCCTCTCTTCCCTACTGACAGAGTTTAGAATGGTGGTTCTCATCCCTGGCTGCACAGGAGAAACACCCAGAGGGTTTTGGGTTTTTTTTTAATGCCGAAGTCCGGACGCCATTGTAGACCAATGCGGTCAGACTTTCAGAGAGGACAGCCAGCTGCCATCAGAGTTTCAAAGTGCTCCAGCGATTCCAGTGCTCAGCTAGGGCTGAGAAACACGTGGCCGTTGAGAAGCAGTGGTTCCCAAAGTGTGGTCCCTGGATCAACAGTATCAGCATCACCTGGGAACTTGTTAGACATGCAGATTCTCAGCTCCACCCCAGACCTACTGAATCACAAATTCTGGGGGTAGGGCCCAGTACTCTCTAGTTTAACAAGCATTCCAGGTGATTCCAATAGGTGCTAAGGTTTGAGAACTACTTTAAAGCTCTGTGACCTGAGGCAAGTGTTTTCCCAGTTGAGGCTCGGTTTCTCCATCTGTGAAATGGGTATAATGAGGATTTCAAGGCAACAGTACACTGGGTACACTTAATATATTATCTAACACAAAATTGGCACTCAAGTAAAGGCTGATGACTGTTATCAAGGAGTGCATCCAGAAAGTCAACCCCCATTTGCCTTCCCTACCACGCCACGCCCCTACATCCTGGACCAAGTCTGTCCATCCTGCCCCAAGTCTGTCCATCCTGCCCCTTAATATCCCTTCCCCTCTTCTCTCCCTCCCACCACTGCCTTGGAGTCGAAGTTCTCAATGGTCCCACCGGAGCACAGTGTGGATTCTGCACACGGCCTGAGGAAAGGAATGAGTTGGCAAAGGAAGAAAGACAACAGGGTGCTGGGCAGGGGGCAGGGTGGCTCCCGAGGACCTGAGCCCACAGGATCACTCACTGAATTCAGAGCCACTTCGGAGGAAGAAGGTGAGTCACTGCTGTCAACTGTGCTGGTATTTTTTTCTCCCGGGACTTCATGCTGGATGACAAGGCTGGCCCTGTTCTTCTGAGACACGCCTCGAGACTGCAGAGCTCCTGTCCCTGCGGCGGAGTGAGCCCCGGAGCTTGCTGTGTTATTTGCTGGAGCTGAAAGGACCCTGGCAACCTAGTGAAAATGGCTCCTGACCTGTCCTCAGGGCTGCTGCCCAGGGCGTGGCCAGGGGCCTCAGCCCTGTAACAAGGCTCCCTCTGTTGATCCATGAAGCCGTGTTTTCAGGGGCATCCCCACATCTTCTCCTGGAAGGCCATCATCGCCCCTTGAGAGAAGCAGCCCCTCACTTGTCCTGCTTGGGTGACTGTTCCCAAATTGTCTCCCCAGGCAACAGTCATGTGACTGGAATAAAAAAGAAAAGAAAAGGAGATTGGGATCCAGAGGCTTGGTGACACAGCAAATGTGGCTTTATCGTCACCACACTTGTCCCAGCTCCAGTGGTTCACCAGGCACACTCCTGCCCTCGGGCCTCAGTGCTGACCATCGCACAATAAATACACCCGTTTGGGTGAAATGCCTGTACGGTTGCAGAGTGTGGCCTTGGTACTCAGACAGCTCTGAGTCCAAGTGCTAAATCCACGCTTTCCAGGCTGTGACCTTGGGCAGGTTCTGTAAACTTTCAGAACCTTGGTTTCCTCACTTGGTAAAGTGGGCATAATCAGGACTGGCTACTGAATTTGCAGCGCCCAGTATAAAATAGAAATGCAAGCTCCTGGCTGGTGTGGCTCAGTGGATTGAGCACTTGCCTGTGAACCAAAGGGTCGCCACTGTGATTCCTGCTCAGGGCACGTGCCTGGGTTGAGGGCCAGGTCCCCAGGAGGGAGTGTGCAAGAGACAACCACACATTGATGTTTCTCTCCCTCTCTTCCTCCCTCCCTCCCTTCCCCTCTGTCTAAAAATAAATAAATAAAATCTTCACAATAGAAATATGAGACTCCCTGTCAAAAATTTACTGAGAATTTCAAGGTGGCATTGAGCTGTGTGCAGGGCTCCTCCTGAGCACAGGTCCTGTGTAACCTCGTGGGTGTAGGCCTGTGAGTGACAGCTGGTCCTGGGTATACTCATAAACAGTATCTATTTCATTGAGTTGTTATAAAGACCAAATAGGATAAGGTATATGGAGTACCTTATGTAGTTCCTGGCACATAGTAGATACTTTAAAAAAAACTCACAGCCCTGGCTGGCATAGCTCAGTGGATTGAGCGCAGGCTGTGAACCAAAGTGTCACAGGTTCGATTCCCAGCCAGGGTACATGCCTGGGTTGCAGGCCATAACCCCCAGCAACCGCACATTGATGTTTCTCTCTCTCTCTATCTCCCTCCCTTCCCTCTCTAAAAATAAATAAAATCTTTAAAAAAAAACACACACATTTTCCTCCTTACATCTTACCTTCTTCACCCATCTGTTACTTTCTGGGCTGCCGTGGCTCTGGTCCTCACACTGAGGCTGGCCCTGCTGGAAACTAAAAGCAAAGCCCGCCCTCACCCACTGCTTGCCCTGGCCCTGCTGCGGCTACTGGCTGTTAGCTCTGCTGTTCCTGGGAAGTGGGGTGATGGTCCCCTGCCAAGGACCCTTTGCTACCTGGGTAGTTCAAGGGGAAGCTCTGGGAGGGGTGGGCTGGGCAGCAGGAGTGAGTGGAGGCCCAGCTGCGGCTGTGCAGCTGGCACTGAAGCTGTTCCCCTGGATGAATGAGGACCGTAGCAGGAGGGTCCTGCTGAGCTCCAGAGAGGCTGTCCCCCTCCCACGGAGTGAGTGAGCCCCATGCAGGGCCCATGGCTTGCTCCTCCCACCTCTCCAAGGGGACAAACAGAAAGGACAAGTATTTTTGGAACAGGAAAACATCACTTTCTATTGCTTCACTGTGTTCGCTCACTTCACTGACTCTGAAATAAACAGGCCTGGCTGAAGGAACTGGCCCTCTGGGAGCAGTGAGGTGAGAAGGGGCGGGGTGGGGGGTAGGGAGAAAACCAGAAACTGCCTGTCAGGCATCAGCCTGACTCCTGCGGGCTGTGGACCCCTCCTAACCAGCCTGGCCCGACCAAAGAGCCTGTGGCCCACTTCAGGTCACTGCAGAGCAGGAGAAGACGCTGAGCTTCTCGCACTCTGCACATGAGAATGCCAGCATGGGTGTGAGGGGCGGTGCAAGGTTGGGGGTGAGTGGGAGGGCCGTGGGGTTTTAAGCAACTTCAAACTATAAAACCCTATAGATTTACACAAAAGAAAAATTAGGGTTATATTTTCCAGTGGCCTCGCCCTGTGTCTCCTTTCAGATCTTTTTTTTTTTTAGTCAGTTATCCTGGTAAATAATGTAAGTCAATTTATGAAACGTTCACTTGTGCTTAGTCTTCCTGAAAGAGCGACGTCTGTCAGAGGGAGTGGTGTTCACACACGTGCATCTGTGTACGCGTGCGCACGTGTGCACACGTGGGTGTGTAAAACTTACAATAATGGAGCCTTGTCGAGATAGCACGTGGCCTCCCCGCCATGCCAGACAGCCTGGTGCAAGCCCTTTGATGGATCTTACCAGCCATGTGACCCTGCACGTGTTACTTGTCTTTCTGCTCTGCCTTCTTCTCTTTTCTACGTGGAGGCGTCGTGAAGCTGAGCGATAATGAATACTAGCAAGGTGCCTGACACAGGGAAATGGTTAATAGCAAATTTGCAAGGTTGTGGGAATTTGCAAGGTCCCTGGTGTATGAGAACTGCCCACAAAACGTCCACTAAAGGACTTGAGAATTTTAAATTAGGTATTCCACAGACAGACATTGTAACAGAGGGTCAACTCTTTTCCCTCCTTTCTCCCATCTGGCTCTCTCTTTCTTGGTGTAGTTGCCCCTCTCATTACCTCTGGGACAGAATGGTCAAATTGGGTCACTTGGGGGGCTGGAGGGTGATGAGGAAAGGCTGAGGTATGGCGGGCAGTGTGGAGGTTAATTTTATGGGACAGCGTGACTGGGCTAAGGGATGCCCAGAGAAGTGGTAGAACATAATTTCAGGTGTGTCCATGAAGGTGTTTCTAGAAGAGATTCGAATCGGTAGGCTGAGTAAAGACTGCCCTCCCCAGATGCAGGCGGGCATGACCCAGCCCCCTGGCGCATGAACAGAGAGGCAGAGGGAGAATGAGCACGCTGTCTGTCTGAGCAGGGGCGTGCGTCTTCTCCTGCCCTCGGACGCCGGAGCTCCCGGTCAGTTCCCAGACCTGCGCCCCCAGGCTGAATCACACCGCCAGCCCCCCTGGTCCCCCAGCCTGCAGACGGCAGACCCTACCTCACACGTGCCGGTTCCAGTAACAAACACCCTCTTCCATCTCTCTCTCCCTGTCCTGTCGGCTCTGCTCTCTGGGGAACCCTGACTGATGCAGGCAGTTCCCGAGACAAAGCCGCACCTCCGCGGAGTGTTCTCAGCTAGGGACATGGTGGGGCCCCAGGGGGCTTGCCCAGGCCTCAGGGACGCCCTGCTTGAACTTTGCCGTCTCTCCAGAATATGGCCTTCAGCTGGAAGGATGACAGCAGGTGGCATTCGCCTCCATTGCTAACACGGACCCCCTGCCCTCCTGTGCCGCTGAGAGTGGTGACCGGTTCGACCGCTGCAGGCGGCTGTTGGCCAGCATGTTCTGGAGCGGGACATCCTGCCCCATCCAAGGGAAATGGGGCAATGTGGCCACCAAAAGCACGTGCAAGAACCTTGTCTCAGTCCGTTTGGGCTGCTCTAACAGAAAGGCCATGGACTGAAGGGCTTATTAGTGACAGGAATTTGTTTCCCACAGTTCTGGAGGCTGGGAAGTCCAAGATCAAGGTTCTGACAGACTTGGGGTCTGGTGAGAACTGCTTCCTGTTTCATAGATAGCAGTCTTCTTGCTGTGGCCATAAGTGGTGGAAGGGGCAGGGGGTTTCTCTGGGGTCTCTTTGATAAGGACACTAGTGTCACTAATGAGGAATCCACCTCATCCTTCCCCAAGGCCGCACCTCCAAACACCATCACCATGGGGATTAGGTTTCAACACAGAATTTGGGGGTGGGCAGCGGATGCAAACATTCAGTCAATAGTAAATAGTCCTAACAGTTTATTCCTAATAGCTGCAAACTGAAAATAACCCAGATGCCCACCAGCAAGAGAATGGGTAAATAAATTGTGAGCATTCACATAATGGAATGCTACATTGCAATAAAAATAAACCACCGCTGCAGGCAAAGACAGGGACGAGCTCAGACATTATGTTCAATGAAAGGAGCCAGACACGAGAGAATACACACTGCACTGTCCCATTTATCTGAAACTCAAGAACAGGAAAACCGGCCCATGGTGACTGAAGTCATATGGTGATTACCTCTTGGTGGGTATTGACTTCCAGGGCACGAGAGAGAACGTTCCAGGTGCTGTCGAAAACCCGACCTGGGTGGTGGTTCCAGAGGTGCATACATATGTAAAAACCATCAGGTTGTACAAGTAGGATCAGTGCACTTCATGTATATTTGATTCGATGTGTATTATATCTCAATAAAAATGAAAAAATAATTATAATGCTTTACCAGATTGTACTGTCTGTGCGAGCCCCGAATGAATACATCCAGGAGCTGTCTTGGGAAAAGCACACATATTGCATTATTTTTGTGCTGAGGGCCTTAATTTTAAACATGTACACATTTGAAAGGCACCACAGCTGACATTTCTTTATGGTTTAATAAAGCCACGCTTAAAGAAAGGGCAAGGGTCTGTCAGAATCTCCGGGAGGCCCTGTCACGGACACAGCCCCGGGCCGAGCGAGGCCGAGCAGGGGGTGCCCGGACTCCCAGCGTGCGGCCTGAGGATGGGTAGGGTCCGCCTGAGCGGGCGCAGGGATGGGGCAGGGGGTGGCCTCAGGGTGCCAGTCCAGGCACGGAGCCCTGTCTGCCTCCTGTCTGGAGGGGAGCTGCAGCTGCCCGAGGCCTCCCAAAGCCCAGGGACACCGCTTCTTCTCGCGGCTTCCAGGGAGTCCTAAGGCACACTGCCCCGGCCGAGGGGGTTTTGCAACTGTGAAAACACAGCCTGGGAGAAGAGGCCCAGGGAGCTGGCAGATACCAGGAAAACGCCCTAAGCGGGAAGTCAGGGCTGACTTGCTGGGCGTGTGTCCTGTGCGGTCACACTCAGAAGGGCCCACAGTCAGTGAATACTCTGCTGTCATCATCTTGAAATTCTTGTTTTATTTTATTTATTTATTTTAGAGAGAGGGGAAGGGAGGGAGAGAGGGAGAGAAACCCTGATGTGAGCGAGAAGCATCTACTGGTTGCCTCTCACACACGCCCCCCAGTGGGGAACAAACCCTCAACCCAGGCATGTTCCCTGACCGGGAATCGAACCGGTGGCCTTTCATTCTGCAGGATGAGGCCCAACCAACTGAGTCATACCAATCAGGGCTTGACATTCTTAATAACTGTTGAACGGGTGGCCCCACATTTTCATTTTTCTTCGAAAACTTGATGGTTGGTCCTGGGAGTAGCAGAGCCCGGTGTTAACAGCCTCTCGTGGGAGTCGGGGCTCTAGTCCCAGGCTGGCCCCTTGCTGGCTGAACCCCGCGGGCAGACTGGCTGTCCACCCATCCGCAGTGCCTCAGCCCCCTGTCTCTGCCGGACACAGGCACTGCCCCGCACAGGTGTTAGGAGAATTCAGTCAGTCTCCAGCACTGGGCCTGGCACATTACAAGTGCTCAATACATTTTGTGATGAGCGCTAAGATGACTGAAGGAGGATTAATAAGGCAGCAGTCTTGCCGGGCCCCACCTCTGCAATGCCAGTCCCAAAGGCAGGAGCCAAAAAAAAGAAGCTTTAGGATGAACTCTTCCCAAATAGCAAATGTTCTCTCTTGGGCACCGGGTCTAACACCAGCTGCGTTATTACACCCCAGGAGACGTGCGTCCTCATCAAGTCACAACAGCCTGGTTCCAGCCTGCGGAGGGAGCAAGAAACAGCCTGAAATCCTGAAAGCGCCCACAGCACCAGGTCCGTTGCATCAAGTCCGTCACTGATTCGGGGGTTCACTGAAGCACGGCCAACAGGTGGTCATCTTGGGTCCTATATGTCGCTTCTGTAAATAGACTTTTGCTTAAAAAAAATCGGCTGACTTGGAAAAGCTGAAAGAAAGCTGTGAGAATACTTTTTCTCTATATCCCTTCCCACGAAACTGACAGGCCTGAGAATTCCAAGGACCTGCACTGTTCACACATCCATTAACCTCTTGCAGCCTGAGTTTCTCCCCGTATGTGGGCAGTCCACAGCGGAGATGAGCAATGCGGATGGATGCTGGAGTCAGGCTGCACGGGGTGCCACCGCTCTCTGGTCCTGTGGCCTGGGACCAGCCGCCCGGCCTCTCCATGCTTCCTCATCCGCAAGTGGGGAAAATAACGGCTCCTACCTCCCTGGGTTCTCATGAGGATGAAGCAAGATGATACGGGCGAAGTACGTAGGATGGTGCCGAGTGCACTGGAGTGCCCAGTGAGTGTTAGCCGCGGGTCATGAGCCCAGAGCACCCAGGCATGCAGGGTCACGGGGTGGTCACCGTAGCAGCTGTGGTTATGGGTATTTAGACTGCCCAGGACCTTAGGTCCTGTGACTGCAGGTCCCTTCTGAGGAAGCCTTCAGAAGGTAGAAGATCCACCACAGCCAGCAGTGATCGTTCAAGGTCGAGGGCTAACCTCCACCTAACTGAGATCTTTTCAACCTCCTGAGGGCAGCAGCCACGGAGCTCGGAGTCCTGTTCGTGTCAGAGCGGAAAAGCTGAATGCCGAGGTCCGAGAGCCTGCATTCCTCACTTACATATGAGGAGCCGAGGCTCAGAGGTGGCCAGTGACCTGCCAAGGTCACGGAAAAATAGGGGCTGCGCAGGGAAGGCAGCTCAGGGCTCACGCTTTTCCACAGTCCTGCTCTGCTCACTCCCTCCTCCAGCTCACTCGGCCAAACTTCTGGCTCCTCGCTCAGCCCTCCCCACCGCAGCATCTCCCCAGTGAGCTTTCTATCAGGTTATGGGCTCGTCTAATTCTCGGCCACATCCTGCCGAAGACCCATTTTTCTTACTGAATCAGGCCGCCATTAGGTCCTGAAAGCCCCATAAGTCTTCTATGGATGAGCAGATCCCTTAATCTATTATTCCACAGTCCTATTTATATATATTTATCCATATGGCTATATAAATAGGGCTCTGAGACATATACGTGGCAGGTTATTGCTGTAGCATAGCTGTTCTCCCCAAGAGGAAAACAAAAATGATGTATGGCCGAGGCTCTTCGCCATGCAGGAAGCTCCCGCCTGATTTATGAAGAGTTAGGTTGCAGCCACATGCTCTGAAGGTAGAGGATCTATTGCAAAGTTATCTAAGAGCAGGACACCCTCGGCCCCAGACACCACAAGGCCGTGGTGGTGCAGCAGGAGCTCAAGGGATCCCAGAGCAGTTGCTCAGAGGCACCTGCCCTGTCCCATGCTGTGAAGTGGGATTCCTTCGGTCGCAAGTTTAAGCCAAAGAAGGGACTTTGTTGTGAGGAGACTGGGTATCTTCAGGAACTTGAAGAGAGGAATGTGGCTGGAGCATCTGCATGTCTCATTCTCTCTCCCTCTCCTCCACCCCTCTCTCCACTCCCCATCTCTCTGTCTCCCCCCTCCGCCCCCCACACCTCTGCTTCTCCCTGTGTCTTGGCTCTATTTATCTCTCCCTCCAGAGGGGCACTCTCCATACAGAAGGAAACATGGCAGCCGACAGCTTCCAAGTTTTCCTCTTACGGCTTCCACTGACAGACGTGGTTCCACGTACAAAAAACCCTGGTATGGGAATCATGTGCCCTGCTCAGTCCAGGGTCGTGAGCAAGGGTCACGAGGCCAGAGCAGCTGCTGCAGGTGCCGCGGGAAGGGACTGGGTGCAGGAACCCGCTCCGTGCATCTGTTCCAGTCACGGTGTGGACTCCGACCAGGCACCTGACCTCCCCGGGCTCCTTCCATGTAAAACTGGACGAATGATGTGCTCCACAAAGGCAGAGATTTGTGACTGGTTTGCTCCCAGATGCATCCCCAGGGCCTAAGCCACGCCATCCACGTGGCTGTGCTCAATAAATATCTATTGAATAAATAAATGAGTGATAACTCCCTTGTATGATTGTTGGCAGGATTAACTGTGATAATAATAAGAGCTAACATTTTGAGATCACCTATGTACCAGGAACTGTTGTTAAGTATATGAGCGAATATATAAAGTGCATTTAGGACAGTGCCTGATGTGTGTGCACACACGTGAGAGAAAACTAGGGTCCCAGAAGTTAAAATGGCCCGAGGTCACACCGTCAATGGCAAGACCAGGAGGCAGATCTAGGGCTTTGCAAAACCACTGCGCTGCCTTCTCGTGCCTTGACTGACATTCCCTGGTCCAGCAGTTCCCAACCGTGGTGGAGAGAGTGGAGACGTGGATAAACCCGGGGCGTGGAGCGTGCGCCCGGACATGTGTATACGTCTTTGTAAATGCTTTACAGGCTGAACGCGTACGCTGATCCTGCATACACGTAGGGCCACTTCAAAACGTACGTCTTCCACGTCACTGCATTTAATGAAATACAAACTCACTGTAACCCATTACTGAACTCATAGCAGCCCACGCTCATGAGTCTTTTCTCAATTCTCTAATACCGCAAAAACATGTTTCTATGGGGGAGGTTGTGAAATTTAATTTTGAGTAAAATCACTTCAGTTAGGAGCCTGGGCTAGGTCTGCCTCCTCATGTCACGGATGAGGAAGGAGAGCCAGGTTGGGGGCAGGGGGCAGTGGCCTGGCCCAAGGCCACATACCAGAGAGATGGGGGACACCGCACCCTTCCATTCTGACCATCCCAAGTAGTGGTGACGCTGGGGTGCCACAGGGAGCCCCACTCTGCTGTGGAGGGGGGTGTAGTTCTTACAGAAGCAAGTTGGCATTTTCTAGTGAAGTCGAGGGTATGCACACCTGATCGGCCACCCAGCACGTGCACTTTTAGGGTTGTGCCCTAGAGAAGCAACAGACAGGTGAATAGGAGGCATATTCAAGATAGTCACTAAAACTATAAATCATGGAAAAGGCATCAATGACCATCAGGAAGAGAAGTGAGAGGCTGAAGCCTTCGGGGAATTTCAACCCAGCAGCCAGAAAGAATAATCCAGCTACATCGGTCCACAGGAAGAAATCTCACGATGGGAACTACGACACGCTCATCTTGTGGTGGGACCTCAGTCCTGCCCCCTCCAGACCTCAGTTTCTTCGTCTGCAAAATGGGCATTTGCGATCAGACCGGTGGTTTTCAAGTTGTGCTTGGCAAAGCCCCAGATATGCTTCACGGGTTCTCCAGAGATGTCAGCTTTCAAAAATATTTGAAACTCTTCTACAGCTGCGGAGACAAGTCCACTCCAGTGAGCTCTGTGGGAAACGTTAACCCTTCACACCCTGGCATGGCACGAGCTAGCTGGAACGCCCACCTCGCTCACAGCGAACAAAACTCCAACCGTGCTTCCCCCGCCTCTCTGGCTTCATGGGGGCGGGTCCTGAGACCACAAGGCAAGCAGCTGCTAAAATCCGCGGGCATTTTCAACTGCTTAGCTGAAGGCGTCAAGATTGTCTTCCATATTGGGTCACCAAGGCAAAAGAGTGATAGTTTGTATGTTTTGGAAGATGCTAATTGTCGACCATAATTTCAAAGGCATATTTGTTGTTTTTTAAACTGTACTTAGTAGTAATGCAATGAAACATTTTTAAGTAACCTTTTTCTTTTGGTGATGTTGCATTCACAGAAAAGTCATACAGGTAGTCCTGAGATTTCCTGGATACCCTCGACCCGGTTTTAGTTTGTCCTAACATCTGGCCCCTATGTCACCCCCTACGTCACCCCTACGTCACCAGGGTACGTCTGAGCAACCCTCGGGGCACCTTACTGCTACACAAGCTCCAGGCTGTATCCAGCTCTCACCGGTTCCTCCCCCAATGCCCTCTTCGTTCCAGCAGCCACTCGGGGTGCCGGGTTGCCTTGAGTCAAAATGGCATTTTCATCGGTCTCAATGCCCTCATGTAACAAGTCATGTGTTATAAATGTAAACCTATAGTTTTAGACTAATAACATATCTAGCGTATCTATGTTGCATAATGAAATTCCAGGAAGATTTCTCGGAGGGGGGGGTGGGGGAGGGAAGGGGAAGGAATCCAGTTTTTGAAACAGTTCTCGAACAAACTGGAGGAGCTGATCTCGGGCCCTGGTAACCCGGCCCGCACAAGGCTAGGTCCCGTCAGGGCTTGCTAAAGGGAGCTAGATGCCCTCAGCTCTCAGTGTGGGCGCCCCACAGCTGTTCTGGGGGGATTGGGATGCACTTGTCCGACACAAGGAGCCAGGGGCTCATTTGCTCATGCATTCTTTTGCCAAATATTTAAGCATCTGCCATGGGCCAGGCGCCCCAGGAGCTGAGAACACAGAGGAACAAAGCAGACAGATTACTGCCCTCATGGAGCTTACATTCTGGTGGGGAGACAAGGGCACATAAGAGAGAAAAGTAAACTGTATGAAAAAACAAAGTGAGAAAGGAGAAGATGAGAGGGTGGGGGCGCAATGTTAGAGAAGGAAGAAGACATCTGGGGGAAGAGTGTTCCAGGCAGAGGGAACAGCAAGTGCAAAGCCCCTGAGGTGGGCACGCCTGGGAGCTTGAGGAGCAGCCAGGGGGCCAGCGTGGCAGCAGGGGACTGACCAGGTAGGAGGCTGAGTGGGAGGAACATGAGGAGCTGATCACAAGAGAGCCCAGAGCCTCTGGGAAATAACAGCTGGAGACTCTGGGTCAGCGGCGGGGGCTGCGCACTCAGCGTGGGCGATTTCAGGTGAGCGTGAGCAGGTGTGCACCCTCGGCGAGGCCCGGATACCGCCCTGTTGGAGCAGGGCTGGCCTGGACAGTGCTCACTGGCCTCCGGGGCCTCTCCTGACCCAGCTCCCTGAGGAGCCACAGACACAAGGAAGGCGTGTTGGTCTGCCTCGTGTGTCCAGGCTGCCCGTGCGCAGGGGGCGCCGAGGGCAGAGTGAGGCAGGAGCCTGGCCAGGTCAGCCTGACCTGGCAGCAGGTGCCCAACTCGCTGACCCGCAGAGAGATGAACCCTGCAGCCCTTGGGGCTCTTGAGAAAGAGGAGAAACCTGGGTGGAAAGAAGCACTTCTCGCCCTTCATAGCACAGGGGGACTTGGAGATGGTTTCATCCGAATGGTGAACCCAAATGTCCTAGGGCAGGTGGATGCATGAACAGAGTGTGGTCCATCGTTTGATGCGTCTCAGCGATGTACGGGAAAGAACTACTGACACAGGCAACATAGCCCCAAAGGTCGCTGCGTGAGAGGAGCCAGTCAGAAAGCACACACTATGCGATCCCATTGCTATGGTCCCAGAAGACAAACGTGTCATCAGTCTCGGCGCCCTCATTCAACAAGACTGATCTCCAGTGACGGAAGGCAGACCCTTGCTTGCCTGGGGAGGGTGGTGAGGAGGGGGTGGGGCAGGGCACCTCGCAAAGGGGTCAACTAAACTTTTGGGGGCCATGAACATGTTCATGACCCTGACCGAGGTCCTGAGTTCACAGGTGTGTTTATACATCAAGAGGTGTCCAGTTACGTGCTTTACATATGCACAGGCTACTGTATGCCCATTATATCTCAGTAAAGTAAAAAATGCAAATAAACATTCCACACGAAAGATGGAATGAGAAAAATAAAAAAAAGATGGGACTTCATTTTGTTTTCTTGTGTTTTTTTTTTAATTTTTTTAAATTTATTTTTAGAGAGGGAAGGGAGGGGGAGAGAGAGAGAGAGAGAGAGAGAGAGAAACATCAATGTACGGTTGCTGGGGGTTATGGCCTGCAACCCAGGCATGTACCCTGGCTGGGAATCGAACCTGGGACACTTTTGGTTCCCAGCCTGCGCTCAATCCACTGAGCTACGCCAGCCAGGGCTTTTTTTGTGTTTTTTTAATCCTCACCTGAGGATATGATTGACCATTGATTTGAGAGAGAGAAACATCTATCAGTTGCCTCGCACACGTGAGCTAACCCTCAACCTCTGGTGTGTGGGACGACGCTCCAGCCCACTGAGCAACTCGGCCAGGGCATGACTTTATTCAGTACCCCAAGATTTCATTGGTGTTGTATTTTGTGAATATAGTATATAGATCTATATAGTTAAAATATGGTTACTCTATATTTTATGTACATTATCATCACATACATGATTATACACTACAATATAATTGTGTTTTTATATTTTTGTATTTTCTCTAATACGATTTTATATCGTTATAAGTAGACCTTATATAACATGCATGTTTGTCATATACGATTTTGCATTTATCTACTTTTTACACTATAAGTGCACCTGTGTGTTTGTGTGTGTGCACGGGTGTGGGTTTATGTAGAGACCCCAGGTGTCAGCTGGAGTCTCTTGGCTCCCAGTCCTGGGGTAGCACTGATTCGAGCCCCCATCCCACACAGGTCAAAGCTCTGGCCAAGATCCCTCTAAATCCCCAACACTCTGATGTTCCAGAGTTCCAGCCTCCCCCGAACCCTGCCTCCTGGGCGTGGCGTAATCTGCACCCTGGCATCATCCGTTCACAAGTGAAACACACGCCTCTCCCCTCCCCACCCCACCAGCAATCTCAAATACAAGGCCAATGCCTAAAACCCAAATTTTCCGTGAACCCTGGGGAGCCAAAGCAGCACCTCACAGCAAACAGCTGAGTTATTCCTGGGGCCGCCTGTGCCTACCCCCTCCCTGGCTCCTCCCCTTCCCACCCCCTCCTCTCAGTCCCCTCCCTGTAGGACCACCTTCCCCTGCCCCAGATTCTTCTCTTCAGGGGAGG